AGAGGTAACCAAGAAATTACTGAAGGTATGTCTTTTGAAGATGGTATAAGGTGCTTAAAGGCTAAATTTGATGTTATGATGCTACAAGTTCAAATGGACACAATTATGCATGAAATTGAGCAAGGGAGGAATTTTAATGCTTTTAATTCTTATCATGTGATTTGTGACTTGTGTGGAGGTTATCATGCAACTAATACATGTATGCAAGCACAAAATGTGGATTGCTATGATGAATTAGAGCATTACAATCCTTATTTTGATCAATACAGTGCTAATTGGAGCAATTCTCTTTCTTATGGTTGGGAAAATCAATGTGCATATAGTGATTATCCATATTTTTATGATTATCAATCTGAAAATGTCCAATATAAAGCAAAACCATCTTGGGAGTTAGCTATAGAAAAATTAGCTAATGTGACTTCCGACCGTTTTGATAGGATTGAGAAAAGAATAGATGAATTAACTTCTCACTTTGGCAGAATAAATGAGCAATTGAATGCATTGTGTGAGGTTATTTCTTCTAATAAATTGCAAAATGATCCTAGCATGAATGGTAGGAATGTTGTATGTGAAAATGGATTGCATGTTGATGAAAATGATGAATCTCAATTGTGTTTCAATGAGCAAATGTCCATTTCACAAGATAATATCTTTGGAACTAACTTTGAGTCTCAAGAGGTGAGTTTTAATGACTCATTTTTCACCCCTCTTGAGGAGTGCATTGAAAGTATAGGTTCTAAGGGTATTGCTGCCCAAGATACTCTCATGGCATTCCCGTTGGTAAGTTCTCAAGTGGTGTATTTTCAAGGTAATATTTATGAAACACTTGAAATAGGTAAGTCACTTCCATTTCTCACATCATTAGATCATGTGACTTTTGCTATAAAGTCACCATTTAATGATCCACCACGACCAAAAATGGTGGATTATTCGCTAACAAAGCCTCCTTGAAAAAATGAGATGAAATAGTCAAGCTATTGACTTTAAAGAAGCGCTTATTGGGAGGCAACCCAATGTTTGTTTAAGTTTATGTTATTTTGGGGTGATTTTATGTTTACAGTATGTGTTTCAGTTATTTTGTTATTTTTCATTTGTAGGTATTGGAAATGGAAGCAAAAGTGACCAAATGAGGTGAAAAAGGCGAAATTTGATCAAGGAACTCAACCCCTCAATTTGAGTAATTGTTGTTTTTGATTTGTTAGAAGGGGTTAAAATGCATATTTTGATCATTTTACATGTGCATGTATTGAGTATTTTAACAAACAAATGATCTATGATGCATTTTGAGTGTTGGGATACCAATGGTAATTTTTCAAAGTTGGCTTTCTGCAAAAATTTCGCAGAAGAAAACGCATTTGGGCTGAAAACGCGCCTTAGAATCGCGTTTTCCATAATCGCGTTTTCAATTCTGCGCCTATACTGAAGAAAACGCGCCTTCAAAACGCGATAGAAAGTCGCGTTTTCTACCAAGTCGCGTTTTCAAGCCTGTTCAGAAACCAAAAACGCGCCTTCAAATACGCGACTTAAAGTCGCGTTTTTAAGCATAGCCGCGTTTTCGTTCCTGCAAGATTTGTGCATAAAACGCGACTTCTAAAACGCGAGTTAAAGGCGCGTTTTATTGAGCCACGTTTTCTGAGCACAATTTTTTTTTTTTTTTTAAAGAAAAATGCAAGTTCCTTGATTCTCTTTTTCTTCTTTTCCTCATATATTTTCTTGTACCTTGAGTTGCTTATTGTATATTTTATATAGGTACATCACCAAAACAAAGGTTTGAAATTACGGATCGCCGTTTTGTTTTATTAAGCCTTTGTTATCACTTTTGTTTCTTATTTCTATGTTTCGATTATTATTACTAATGGTTATTCAATGGAACTTATGAAGCGTTGGAGTTACACGGACAATGGATTTTGAAGCTTCATATTCAATCACTACATAGGGGAGTATTACTTTCTTTATCTTGATTTTCCTTTTTACACGTTGAGGACAATGTGTATGTTAAGTGTGGGGGGAGAATTGTGATTATATATATTGTATGTGATTGACTTATTAGTTGCAAATATTGGACTTGTGTTAAAATTCAAAATTTTTCCAAAATCTTGTCCAAAATTGCAAACTTGCCTCAACAATTTTTAAATTTTTTTTATTTTATCCAAGAGGTAACAAGTTCCACACCATTAGTAGTTCAAATTTCTTCTTCATTTGAGATAAATATATGTGATTTGGAAACTTCTTTTCTCATTTAACTTGGAAATGACTATTATGTGATTATAATTTTTGCATTTGTAGGAAAATATATCTTTTAAAGTGGAGAAAATTATGCCTATATTTTTTTGCATATTTGATGAAATTTCTTCGCTTTATTTGATTTTATAAGTTAAGTGATAAATATGGTCAGTAATTGCAATACTCTTCTCATGATTATTCTTTTGAGGAATTTATTATTATTTTTGCTGTAAAAAACAAAAAAAAAGGAAAAAAAAGTGGAAAGAAAAAAAAAGAGAAAAAAAGATTTATTCTACTCCAATAATTCTCGTACTTAGTAACCGGGAGCCTTCATCTACAAATGTCGACTTTCGCGTAAAACGGTACTTGAATTAAGAGTATGCAAAGCAACTTGAGTATGTGAAGTGTTGAGTAACCGGTGATCTTCATCTAAAAATGTCGATTCTCGCGTCAAAAGACACTTTCACAACTTAAGTAATATTTAGCTACGTTATATGAATAAATATCTGTTTAAGTAGAATAAAAAGATGATCATGAGTTTAGAAAGCATTTTATTGACCATATGAGTTACTTACTTGTAAGATTGGGTAAGAATGAAAAAATTGATTTGAATTTGTTATAATGACGGTATAACTGGCTCTCCTTTACTTGATATTATGAGTACTTGAACTTAATTGAATAATTACATAATGGTTATTTACTTTGTTTTGAGAAAATGAAGTTGAAATGCTACATATGTTTATTTTCAAATTTTGATCATTGTTGGTTTGTATTTTTTATTGCTTGAGGACAAGCAATGGTTCAAGTGTGGGGGTATTTGATAAGAGTTTATTTTACGTATTTTTAGTGTGTTTTATTAGTTAATTTTGGTTTGATTATTTAGTTTTATAATTAAAATAACTAAGGTTTTGGTAAAAATCTACATTTTATGTTAAAGTGGCTAAATATTGCATTTTATGGATTTTTATGGGAAAAACTTCATATTTTGTAGGTTTAATGATTCAATCATCAAATGAAGTGCATTGAGAAGATATTTGGATGATTGAAGATGGATTAAAGTGGGGAAAATAAAATATGAAGTGTAAAAGGAAGAAATGCAATTTGAGGACAAAAATCAAGAAAAGTCAGCTTTGACAACTCAGACATATTTTCGTATTTTGACTATATCAGGAGCTACAATGATCAGATCAAGGTGATCTTGGTACCATTTTGAAGCTAAGAGATATATCTACATTTGGTATGAAGACATCAAAGTCCAATTCAGCCGTTTTCTTGGTCAAAAGGTCGAAACTCAGAAACTTATCTGGATGGTCGAAAGCTGAAGCCCAGAATTGACCAGTCTATGGTATTTTGACCATATCTCCGTCCACCGATCTCCAAATTAGATGATTCTTGAAGCATTGGAACTCTAATTCAAAGGGCTGCAACTTTTGTGTTTTGCACAAAAGCCAGTTCGGCCTTCATCATGGAGAAAAATGCAGTTGAAGTGAGGTCAAAAGTAAAAACGTGTCTGGCAGCCGAATTTCTGTAATTTGCTCAGCCATTTTTCTCATCTTCACACTACTTTCCAGCTAGAGTTGGAGAGAAAACGTAGGCTGCACATGCTTCAGAAGACATAAGGAAGAGATATAGCCAAGGTTCCAAGTCAAAAGCCATTATTTTTGACTCCCTTAACAAATTCAGATTTGGAGAATCATAGCAGAAATTTTTGACTGGTAAGGGAAGGACTTTTCATCAGCTTATATGCAGAGACATTTGAGGTCTAAAATTATACGGGAGAAGCTTGAAGAGTGCAGAAATGTAGTTCTTCCATTTCCTTAGTGTAGGATAGTGTAGTAAGTGTAGTTCATTCATTCTTGTATAATGGCTAGATTAGGATGAAAATGGAGATGAAGAAAGAGAAGTTGAAGCTCAAGTGACATGGGTTATCTCTTCTCCAACTCTTTATCTTTTGTATTGGATTCTTAAATATAGTTAATATGCAAGTTCTGGAATTTATGTCTATTATGTGTTTCTAAAGTTTATGCCTTGGGTTTGGTTGAACTTTCTATAATTGTTAGTGTTTATTATTTGGTTATTTGATTGCTATGATTTGAGCAAGTTATTTAGCACTTTAGCTCTTGAAATCATGATTAATCTGGTACCATTAATTCTGATTATCTAAGGTGTTATTTCTGCAATGAAAATTGAGATTTAACATTAGTTCAAGAAGTGCTAAACATAGGGAGTACACTCACGAGAGTAGAGGTGCACCTATGTGGTTTTTAGTGATTCATTTCATGTAATTTCACTGAAGAAATGAACTTGTAGCTAATTTCATAACCATGAGAATAGGTATGGATTAGTTATAAGTATAATTGATTCACTACGAAAGTAGGATTCAAATGCATAAGGAAATTACACCATAATTAGCCTAGATGTAGTAATTAATGATCCAAATATAGCACTTGCATGAGTAGTTAGGGATACCACAACCTAAGGAGCTTTTATTTGTTATTTTGTATAATTTCAGTAGGTTAAATTTGTTATAATTCATTGATAGTCTAAATAATAGAGAAGCTTTAGTAATACCGGTAATTGTTCACTCTTCCCTGTGGGATCGACCCGATATATACCCTAAACTACTAGTTGATCTGTATACTTGCAGTGAACGGGTGTAATTCGGTATTTTTTAGCTTGCACGTATGTAAAATACCCGTCAAGTTTTTGGCGCCGTTGCCGGGGAAGATTTGGCAATATCGGTGTGAAGAGCAACTTTATTAATTTAGACATTTGTTTGGAATGTTTTGTATATTTACCATTCTAATGGCTCTTGATTCTACAGTTCCTGCTGCAGCAACAGGATTGATGAACTTCTTTGAGCCTGCTCTTTTGTTTATTCAGAGGTGGCTGCCCTTGTTTTATGTTCCTTCTTTGGTGGTTTTGCCTCTTGCCGTTAAAGACATTCCCGCAACTTCAGGGGTTAAGATTTGTATAATCATAGGTACAATATTCTAGCACTTCAGCAATAATTATTATTGAAGCAGAAATTCCACAGAAAAAGTTAAGAAGTTGGATGTTCTAATTCATCTGTTAAGTGTTATGTTATTTCTTGTGTTGCATTCTGAAAGTTGTTAAGAGCTACATTTTACACATAGCTAATTATGGTTCTCGTACTTGTTATGCTGCAAGTGCTCCAATGCCTGGGATCCTGACATGGGTCTTTGCATACTGCTGTCATCATCTCTTTTTCAGTCATTTTTTTTTCAATTTTAGTGTTTTTAAGGCCGTCTTTACTGATTTTCACACAAGTCTGGTTTATGTTGTTATGATAACCTGTAGTTTAAAATAAGCTTCTATATGTGTTTTTTTTTTCCCCTCTTGGATGCATACCATCGCTGCAGTAATTTTGTACAATGTCAGTGAGTCAACTGTAGAAATGAAACAGTTGGCATGGGTTCTTTTCTGAACATGTCTTCTAACAAGCTGAGTTTCTTTTTGCACCTTCCTTCATGATGTTCATATTATTCTTTTTCTACACATTAATAGCTAAAAAGATGTGATTTTGAAGTTCCACCTGGAGCCACAATTAAGATCTGATTCAATTTAATGAATGTCAGACGCAAAGTGCTATGCAGTTTTCTTTAAAGTTAGCCCGCCAAAGAGCAAAGCATTTGTAAAAGGATTTTTTTTCTTTTCGGTGGCAAAATTGCTTTTCATAACATGACTCCATACAACAAAATTTGGATTATCTTTTGTTGGATTATACACCTCTTCTTTGATATACAGAAATGTGGTGGGTGTTATTACGGCTTGATGCTGCATCCTATGACATTCAAACTACTATGTAGTCTGTCAGAATGTGAAAGTTGGGGCACCATATATAATAACTTCAACAAAGGCAGGCTCTGCTGCAGAATCCGCTTCTTTGGTTGTGATTAGCCTTTTTTAAATTGAAATTAAAATGCCTTTTTATCTGGTTTGTCTGTTAGACTTTTCCTTGAAGAAATTTATGGAACGACCTTGATTTTGAAGCTAAGAGTTTCTGAATGAAAGCCTATCCTTGTCGTTAAATGATAGAAATTTGTTCCACTACTTTCTACAAATCTTGTAAGAAGAATTACATCTTCTAAGGTAAGAAGTAATTCATTCTATGACAAGCAATTTCCTGGCAACACTTTTTGAACCATTCAGACCACATCAAAATTGTTTAATTTGATATCATGATCCTTGAATCCGGAATCTTGGGTTTAGTTGTTGTCAAAACTGGGCTTTAATTTCTCTTAGCATTATGTTATAGCAATATAGTAAAAGCATGACTTTAAATAAAGAAACATTAGGTAAAAGGGCACTAAACAGGTGTGCAAATATCTCTTGTTTTCCAACTGCCTCCACCTTGTTCAGAGGTTCTACATTTTCTTTTTGCAGTCTTAAACATAATCATTTGGAATAATTTCAATCACTTTTATATTGGCAGTTGGTGGATGGTTAGCTTCACTTGCAGTTGCAGGTTACACTGCAATCGCTGTAAGAAAAATGGTAAATACAGAAATGATACCTGCTGAACCAATGTCAAAGCCTTCTCCTTTTTCTCAACTGGAGATTTGGGCTTGGAGTGGGATTTTTGTTATATCGTTTATTGCAGCTTTTTGGTATCCAACGGTGCTTGGCACAAGTGCAAGAACATGCCTTCCTTTTCTACTGGCATCAACTGTATTAGGCTATATGGTTGGTTCTGGGTAATTTTTTTTTTTTTGGATTTTAATGTCAGTTTTTCATGCCACACTTTTGTTTCTGCATTAATAAGCTTTGCAATTGAACTCATTTTTTTAATCTGGATAGTTAATTGCTTGTTCAACTTGTTCTGCAGGCTTCCATCTGGGCTCAAGAAAGTTTTCCATCCAGTTATTTGCTGTGCTCTTTCTGCAGATTTGGCAGCATTTGCTTTTGGATACTTTACTCGAAGTGGACTTAATCCAGTTCTAGGTACTAGATCAGATAACTTGTTAAATATTAAATTAAATGGTAATAAAAGGATAAAGACATCCGGATTTTCCAAACGAATGTCTTTTAGAATGTATGACCATTTAGAAATAAAACATATAACCCATAGCAATTAAAATCTGCCATTGCTAATTCTTAACCACATCTAATTCTGGATTTGCAATAAAATAGTAGTTGCAAAATGATAAAGGAATAATAGGAGATCACAATTTGTCATACCTTTTGTGCAGATAAGCTTTTGGACCTTAAAGCGGATCGTCTTACAGTAGACAAGCAAAAGCTTCTACTTACTTATGCACATCTTTTTATATAACTACATTTTAGCATCTGCAAACTGTTAATTATGCTCATGATCGCTTAGGGGTGAATTAGTGAACCAATTCACCTAGCATGGAGATGATACTGCACAAAACACTAAAAGGGCTCTCTTCTGAGATAAATATCGTTGTCAATTGGGGTATGGTACATTTTATGATTGAAATTTGTTTGACAGTTAAGTGTGGGATTAGGCAAATAGGTCTGCTCCTGTGGCAAATGCAGTTGTGTCATATGAATGTGTTGGCAAGAACAATACATAAGTAAAAAGTAGCCTTATATCCTGGGAAAAAATAGAGTTTAATTGGTCAGAAAAAATGAGGAGGTCCTTCTTTAGTAAAAGGGATATGGTTTCATAAAAAGAGCATGCTGATGAGCAAACAAGCAAAGAGAGACATTAATCACTGGCATTTTCAATTCTATTCCCCTTCAGTCGGCCTAGAAAAAAAATCAACACAAAGTGTGAGTAGAAATTGTCTCATTAAAGTAAGCTTTTCAACAAAGTCAAAAGAAGTAGATAATCATAAATATCCTTGAAATTGAGTAGCTTCTAGTACATTAGCCATCCAGAATCAGATAATTCACCTCATTGGTAATATTTCAAATTCTTCCACCACAACGTATAGATATAGAGCATGTGGTGTCAAGGGGGAAAGTAGATATTGGGGAAAAAAAAAGAAAGGTAATTGAGGGAAACTGAATACATATTAAACTTTATAAGAAAACCTTGATATGGGTAAAGTTTATTACTGCATAAGATATAAAAACGCAAGTTTGTCTCCAATTGTCATCAAAGTCCCAATGACCTCATTTATTAAATAAGTTTATTATAGTAGGTTATGAATAAAGTGTTCCTACTTAAGATCACTCAAATGCAAAACTTGTTCGAAGGAAAACATGCTTCACGTGGCTAGCTCTTCCTCTTCCACCTTCCTGTGTTCTCAACATCTATGATTTATGTTGTAGATTCATTGACTTTATGGATTTAGAACACTCATTAGTGTTTCTCTTTCAAATTAATGATGTTCGAGATTTGCAGTTTTTTAGCATGTTGATTGGACATGACAAAATTATCTATCTTGTATCTTATACAGGATATTATCTCACAAAGGCATCCTCTAATCCTGGAGCTGGTGATATTCTTATGGGATTTCTAGGATCGGTTATCCTTTCCTTTGCCTTCTCAATGTTCAAACAGAGGAAGGTACAGGATTTTCTGATTCAGAGATCCAGGATTTAAAATACAAGTAATTCTTCTAGTTTGGGTCGCTTAGATCTTGACGTTGCTTTACACTAGGCATGTGAAAGGTTTATGAACATTTTTAGCCCAATCTATGGATAGATTTACTTATCTTGTCCCTAAGAAAAGAGTTTTTATTATCATCTGCATTTATTTACCCATTTTAGTTGGCTGTGCCTCTCTATTCTATTTGTCTTAAGTTTTAAATTATGCTCATTATATTGGTTCATAGGATATATCAGATAACTTTATTCTTCTAAAGCACAGAAAAAGATCATTAGGAATTTGGCTGAGGCGTGTCAAAACATTAGACGAGTGCGTACTGATTCATTAGATTAAGAGAATGGATGTTAGATTTTCAGCACATGAAGAATGGAAAAGGAATCCATAGACCTCAGAGAAACAAGGGAACTCTTAAATCAGAAGATGGAGGGATTGCAGATTACTGACAGACCATGAACATATTCGTAATTCCCTGCAATTAGTCTTATTGGTGTTTGCTGTTTCTTTTTTTACCAACAGTAAAAATAAAGTTTACGCTCATTGTGACCTTTAATTTGGCCACGTTCTTCCTAAATTGTCTCCTTTTCACTTTTCAGCTTGTTAAGAGGCATGCAGCTGAGATTTTCACCTCAGTCATTATCTCAACTTTGTTTTCTTTGTACTCAACGGCTCTGATTGGACGACTTCTTGCATTGGAACCAAGTTTAACTATATCAATACTTCCCAGATGCATTACTGTGGCATTGGCTCTCAGCATTGTATCTTTCTTTGAAGGTCAGTTACTTCTGACTATATCTCTTAGTCTTCCATTGGCAGTGAGAGTGCAGAAACGCATGGAGTCCAAATGCTGAAATGTGATAATTACCTGTCCTGGATGGTTACAGGTGCCAATTCATCTCTCACAGCTGCAGCTGTTGTAGTTACTGGGCTCATTGGAGCGAATTTTGTTCAGACAGTGCTTGATAACCTTCGCTTCCGTGATCCTATTGCTCGAGGAATTGCAACTGCATCTAGGTATGAACAATTTCACTACATTATAGATCCTTGTCCAATCAATTGTCTTTTTCTGGCTTTCCCTACAATGGTTATTAGGATAGCATAAAGCTTTAGTGTTTTTAGTTGCTTCAACTAGTTGAATTATTAGCAGCATACCAAGCTTTCTGCTGTGGGATGAGTTGGTATCTATAAGTGTCACCGAGTAGGTAAACTCAAAATCTTAAAAGCGGTCAAAGTAAAAAACTGCTACGAAAACGGTGTCCATGATATATAAAGTGTCATTCCTTTCAGATACTGCTAGGAATATCATCATGCATGTATGCTCAACAAATTGTAGATTTAAGCCTTTGTTGCAATTTAGGTTTTTTGATATATTTTCTGAAGAGTTGTGTGAATTTTTTTTTGGGGGGGGAAGGGGGGGGGGGTTGACAACTCAAGGGAACAATCTGAAAAGCCCAATATTATGCTGGCGTCATTTCTCAAAGTTGTTTCTTGCATTCTTGCAAAATGTGCTTTCTTATGAAGTTTCTATGAGTAACATGCTAAGGCATACTTGCACTCGTAACTGACTAATTTGTCTTGTACCCAATTCGACAAGAAATGTTATTGGAATTATCAGATAATAATATGGACCTGATCCTGCAAGAGAGGAAAAAATGGAATACAAGAAACACTTAATATTGTGTCTAGTAACACTTTCTCACCTCATTATTATCAGTCAAGTTCTATAGAACAAAGCTCCTGCAGAATCTCTCTCCAACCTCCTCTTTAATCTCTCTTCAAAATTTCCCCCAAAATATGTTTATCTGGAATTTCTCTTGATAAACTTAGCACTTCTTGGAGCACAATTTGATTTTGTGAATCTCAGGCAATCTTTTCAAGGCTTAATATGATTAAAATAAGAAATAGTTAATGAAGTTTTGGATGGTATATAACTGGATTTCTGTCTAACTGCAAATAGCCATACTGATTAGAAACTGATCTGAAGTCAGTTATGTTCCGTGGACATGTAAACTTTGTCTCAATTCCGGTTGCTAAATGTACTTGCAGTTTGCCCTTGTCCTGATTCAAAACTTAAGCAGATCACCTTACTTGCCAGGAGCACCAATGTGACAGTTTTTATGTGCATAGTTCCAGTTGCCACATCCAAAATCTCCTTTATCAACTAATCGTAATTGAGAACTCATTGAGCCTTTCTTTCTTCTCTTTTTCCTTTATCATACTATGAACAGTGCGCATGGCTTGGGAACAGCAGCATTGTCAGCAAAGGAACCTGAGGCTCTTCCATTTTGTGCCATTGCATATGGACTTACTGGCATATTTGGTTCTCTATTTTGCTCCATTCCAGCAGTCAGACAAAGCTTGTTAGCAGTAGTTGGCTAAAACATCCAGCTGCTAGTGGAATATGTGAGCAGGGCATTGCTATACATGATCTGCTTATCACCTTGAGACAATTAGAAAATTCTGAAGACTGGCTAAAAATTTGGCAATGTTTTAATGGAAATCCATAATCCTATCTGCTTTTTCTTCAACATAAGTTCTAAAGGGCACATTTCTGCTGCATTGGCTTAATACAGTACTAGCTAAATTGAGTAGATGAGTTAGCATAATTTGTCATGTGACATCTGCCAAGAACTGCAACTAAGGATGATTTAGCTGCAAATGTGGCAGCGCATATTTGATTTATCACACGGTGCATCTGCCATGAATCACAAGTGGAGGCGTTTTAGTCGGAAATTTGGTAGTACATACTACTTGATATATCAGATAGTGCGGGAGCCCAGAAAATATTTTGGTCGGAGAGCAAAAGGATTGGAGTTATTCTTGTTTTATGGTATGTAATAATAATATTTGCATCATAAGTTTAACAATTAGCGACATAAACAATCAATAAATAAAATAAGAGAATGTAAAGAATCATATAATGCTCCGAAACCCATTAAAACACCCTCTTTTTTTGTTATATAGAATACAAAAAATATTCTCTAAACGGTTGAATTTGTGCCTATAGTCCATTGTTTTGCCACTGAAAATTGTTATTAAATTACTTGTTGGCATATAATACTATAGAATTTCTACTCAGGAGTGTTGGGTTCTGCGGCAGAAGAGGAAGTACAAAGTGATAGATTTCGAATTCGAAACCTCTCATTTATATTAAAAAAAAAAAGAATTTCTATCCATTTCAATACCTTAAATGTATAATTTACTTTAGCCATTGAGGGCACATTGATAATTTAGTAGAGTAAAAAAAAAAACAAAATGTTCTAAGAATTATACGTCTATTGAAATTTTTCTATGATCATGGATCACCGATATTAGATGTTAAATAGATGTATATCTCTAAACAAAAGAACTTATACTATAATCTTTAATACTTATTCAATTCTTCATCGATCTAATTGAATATTTTAAATTGACGTAGCATTGTTATAATTTTATTATATAAACTTTAGTATGTTAGGTTCTTTAATAAGTAATGACTCGTATAAGAAAAAAAAAACAATTCACTTGCAAATCCAAATAAAAACAATAATACTAGAAGTAAACAAAAATCTTAAGCGTTAAACCAACTTACATGAATATATTATGATATGAAAGGCCAATTCACCTTTGTTTTAGTAAAGAAATATAATATTCTATATTTTCATTTGTTTTGTTGACAAGCAGGTGTTTATCTGCTTGTGGTATCAGAAAAATAAAACTTCAGGGTTCTATATAGAACTTTTAGAAATATTAAGTACTAGAATAAAACAGAGTAAAAAATTCCGGGACCAAACATTTGTACAATTTTCTCTACCCTTTTAACAGCACTGTGCATGTCACCCCACTTTGAGGACAGCAGCATTGAGATTTGGGACACTTAAATGACTGATACCAAAAAGAGTTCCTTTTGAGATTATAACTACTCAGAAATATACCGAAAAATTCGTCCATTCTTCCTCCCTGATGTGGAAAATAGTTGACAAAAGAAGGGTGTGAGTCAGTCACACATGCTAATCAAATTGCTCAGTTTTCTGCATGTGTAAGTTCTACTTTTCACCCAAGAATATGGTTCATAATTTTGTTCTTGCATCCATAAAATTTGGGGTTACTGCGTTTTTTTACCCTGAATGCTTTTAATGGTTATGACTAGTCTAATAGGAGCTATGGGATTATCTTGTGAAAGTCTGGAGTTTTCTTTATTTGTTATGCATTTACAAAATAACACTGCATTGATTTGATGCAGTTGTTTTTCATAATTATCATCTTGTTTCTTCTGTGCAGATGCTTTGAACTATTGAAATGAAGAAAAAAGAAAGCAATATGGATGAACTTGAACTCTTTTTTTTTTTTGTTCCCCTTTTTTACTCTAGTTAAGTCTTTTTTGTAAAAAATGGCACCTTTAAAAAAAGAAAGAAGAAAGAAACTTAGGAATGATGACCAGTAAGACTGATTTAAGTTGCATTAAGCTTAGATGGTAACCCATTTCCCAATTTCAACTGCTTAAGTTTACCCCCAAAAAAAAAAATAATATACTAGTACAACTCTGGAAGAAAACTGAGAACTAATGATGCATGCAACAGGGATGTATATGAGAAAATAGTAGAAAAAGATAAACTTTTGCAGCTAATTCAGTAATGAGGTTTGTTAAGGTTGATTTTATTTCTCGGTGTATTTTCTAGCATCTGAATCCCATGCAAGTTCAGCATTGACAATATCTATTAAGTTCTGCAACATATGAAATCTGTAGTTTCAAAAAGTGGTTTCCAGTAACATTATTTGTAAATCTGATCTTTCTTGCTGAATGCTTTCTGATTGTGTTGCCAATTGTACTCTATCATGTTTTTACTAGTTAAGTTGATAGTTGGGTCTTATAGATCTTCTTAGCACACTTGTGATCTGGAATTATAGGTAGCTAATATAAATGCTCCATATCAACTCAATTATCATGTGGCAATGATTTTAGATGCTGAGGGATGTTATAATTTCCGACCTACTGGCATGATGATAATACTGAATATGAAGCAATCTGGTATTGTTTATTGAATCGAAAATTTGGGAAGATGATGCAAATTTGAAGCTTTGTTACTCGTTATCTTCGGACCAACTTGAATATTATGTCCTCTTATCATTTCACTTTGTTACATGTTGTTTTTGGTCCGATATTAAGGTACTTCATCTTGCTGTGCAATGCTAATGGATTTAGATGTTGATGCTTCATATCAGTTTTGATGTATAGAACTTCCATTCACAAAGGGGCCAGTGTTCTGTACCAACAGTAGATGGGAAAATAACTACTCAGAATTCTGTGAGAGTTTGCACATCAAAGCTGTGGGGTTCTACCAAAACACACATGGTTGCCTTTTCCAAGAGATGCTCTATGGCATCTGAAGTTAATCACACAGAGCCACCATTTCCACAATTTCCAGGGGCATATCCAGGGGCTTCCTTTTCCTCTAGCGGATTTGCTTTTCATCCTTCTCAAGCTACTCAAATGGACTCAAAGGCTGGCATTGCTGCAGTGCCTATTCGATCTGTTCCACCTTTACATGGACCAACAAAAAACAGATTTGTAACAAAGCCTGTCAAGATCAAGAAAGACTGGCCTCCGTCCAATGATGCGTGTCCTTCCAATAAGTCAAGGCCCAAACAGCCAAAAAAGAAGCCTTCAACTACTAAGAAGACTAAGAGACCGCCTAAGATTGGAGTAAACATTGAAAGGAAGAATCCAGATTTGGTATATGATGAAGCCAAGTTTGACTTTTCACGGGTGCCACAGCCATTTTGCTCTTGTACTGGAGTTGCTAGAGCATGCTACAAATGGGGATCTGGAAGCTGGCAGTCTTCCTGCTGCAATACAAACTTATGTCAGTATCCTCTGCCAATGAGTCCTTCAAGGCCAGGTGCTCGTGTGCCTGGAAGGAAAATGAGCCATGGAGCATACACAAAACTTCTTTGCAGATTTGCAACCGAGGGTCGCGATCTTTCACAACCAATCGATTTGAAGAACCACTGGGCTAAACATGGAACAAACAAGTTTGTTACAATCAAGTAAAAAGATGCAACTGTTTTGACTACCAATCATGCATCACCTTCTTTGTATAGCGGCAAGTTTTCTTTCTAGATGCTCTTTCAGCTCTAAGTATCCTAGGTACATGGCAATTGACAGCCATGCTTTGGTTGTGTCAATGTTCGAATATTGCCCTTTAGTTCTGTTTGTTCTTTGCGCTAGTCATGATCTGCTAGATGTCCCTTTTATGTTGGTCTCTTTTGGAGCTTATTACTTTCTAAATTTTCCTTTGTAGTGTTTAGTAGACAGGTTGCTGTCATCATTTTACTTCCTCTCTTACGGCCGAGTGGAGTTAAAAAGTGTAAAATATCATTAACCAAATAAAACGCTGATGAACATCAGAAACTGATTTATGACTTCACAAAAACTTACATGCTGTTGATGAACTTTGTAAACTTAATCACTAAACCAATAGGGTTGTATTACAGTAGAAGTTTTCGCATTTAACGAAATATAATTGCAATCTGCCAAAGGCTGCAGTTGCCTTTATCTTTTCCATTTCATTTCTTCTTTTGTTTCTTTATGGTACAAGTCTCACAGATTTGTGCTTCAAACACACACGTTTGGAGAGTTTATCATTTAATGTCGACTGATACATGGAGCGGAGGAAAACTGATGGGAAAATTAGCGAAAAAGTTGCGAAGAACAAGGGTTTCCATGCATCTAGGAAGTTTTTAGGCCTTTGCTGTTTGCAATGCTTCAACCCTGCAAGCAACAATTTGCTCGTAGAGATCTCTGATCTTCAACCCCACTATGGTCTGGAAGAGCCCTGTTCCGTTACTGCTGCCAGGGAAGTCGGCATGTTTCAACATCTGTTGAGTGACTTCACCATAGAACTTGCTGGAGATGTTGCTCAGGTGGCTTTCTACATAAATCAGCTCATCCAGTCTGTCAAATTGGCCATCCATTTCCGCTACAGAAACCTGTCAGAAACAATAGCAGATTGATGAGCAAGGAAATGGTTATCCACAAAATTCCGTTTTCTAATCTCCTCCTAGAAAGCATCTGCTGCATAGAAACTTCTTTTAATCTCAAGCACTAATTCGAGTTTCCACTATCGCCATATTACTCGTTTGTCACTTTGCACCCTGAACTTTCATTTTGATAATCCAATTGCTAAACTTTCATCTTTAATTACTCTGATTATCAGGAAAACCTAGTTCTTAACCAAAAATAGGGTCTTTAACCTTAAATAGCTAATGTGACTCTAATCTAGCATGTGACCTGCTGTTTAAATATGCCTGCAACTTTCTTCATCCAAGAATCAACATTGAACTCATGAATCTAGTTTAAGTTGATTATGGGAAATGGATTTAGTGTACCTCATTGCCAAAGTAAGTATCAGGACCATAGGCAAACTTGATGCCAGGGTAAGAGCATGTTAACTTCCTCCCACATGGAATCCAAGAAATTGTAGAGCCTTCATCAAACAGGTAAACTGGGCTGAAATGATTCACCCCTTCTTTTTGTATCAACTTTACTCTCAAAACCTTCCCCTCATTATCATCAGGAATGAGTTGTGTTGGCAAAACTTCAATGACAACATCAGCATACTGCTTCTGTGGGTCTGATCCACCACAACATAACACATATCATAATTCAATTCTGTGTAAGTATAGCCTTTGAGTTTCTAACATAACATCTGTTTGACTATGGCACAGTTTA